TATGTCTCTCCTCGGGACCAAACTCGCCATGTCATCTGCTTACCACCTGCAGACAGACGGACAGACCGAGCGCCTCAACCAGATTGTCGAGCAACTCCTCCGCGCAGCCTGCAAGGACGACATCTCCAAATGGGACTTGCACCTGCCCGTTCTAGAGTTTGCTTACAACAACGCTACCCATGCCGCTACTGGACAGACGCCGTTCTTCCTCTGCTACGGACGCCACCCACTCACACCACAAAAACCGACAGCATCAGCTACAGTCCAACCTGCACATGATTTCATCACAACCATGCATCAGCTTTGGGATCGGACCCACAAGCGCCTCCTCGACATTCAACAGCAACAGAAGCGCCAGGCCGATCGCCATCGCAACGACCACACCATTTCGGTGGGAGACCAGGTGCTTCTTGACACCCGCAACCTGGACATCAGCCACCTCCCATCTAAACTTCGACCTCGCTTCTGCGGACCTTTTCTCGTTGAAGCACAGGACACTCCTGTTACCTTCCGCTTACGCCTGCCAGCTACCTGGAAGCTTCACAACGCCTTCCATGTCCAACTTCTGAAGCCCTATCGGGATTCGAACACGATCTTCGTCGGACGCCAACCGCCGCTGCCGCCGCCCGTCCTCGTCCAGAATGAACCCGAGTACGAGGTCGAGTCCGTGCTTGCACACCGCCGTCGTCGGAATGGCACCGTGGAGCTTCTCATCCGTTGGAAGGGTTATGATCCTTCTGAGGACAGCTGGATACCTGAGACCGACATGGGTAACGCCCGTCGTCCTCTGCATGACTACCTTGTCAAGCAGGGTGTTCCTTCTACCACCCAACTTTGAGGGGGGGAAGTGTGAGAGTACGACCCCGTTACACCACTTGTCCCTTTTCTTATTTCCTTCCTCTTTTCATTTCTCTTTTTGTCCCATCTCATTTGGTTTCCTATTCTCCATTTTCCATTAACATTTGGTTTATCCTGCTATTATAATTATATCACCGACCAGGCTTGGGATGTACTGGCGCGCTATATCTAGCGTAATCCTGCTGTAATTCCTTCAAGCTAATAGCCTCGCGTGGCTATACGCAGGGTGATTCTATCTTCTAGAAGGGTCTATTCCCTTAGGATAAGATAAACCTGGTTACCTGATGTACTCTGGAAGTATAAAAGCGCCTTGTACCGATCGATAGTGCAATATTTTCCTCGAGTCATTCGATCCTGTGACACTTTTGGTGTGCATGTTCTGGTTGTTGGCGAGAGTAATTACAACTTCGTGACTCAAGCGGCATTCGCGTTGGACGAAGCGTGCAAAAGATAACATGTGCTGGTCGTAGCAACTGTCCAAGAATCAAGTATCAGGCTTAGATGGTTTGTCGCGAGCGATTTCAACATACATGGGATTGCGCGGAAGACGATATTGGTTTGATGCCGGTGGAGACTTATCAGCATTGTAAGTGGTTGGTGATTCAGTTACGCAGAAGTCCATGATTGCGATGCAAGTGACGATGTTGCGTATGCCTATTTTGTAAAACGAGCTCGCAAAACGAGCCTTAGTAGGGTCTTGGATCACTCTCGAGGTCGACATGGACGGAGCATGACATTCCAAACCTGGGAGCGGTCACTCGCCACCGCACCCGGCGTGGGTGGGAAAGCGAAGAATCCAACCTTGTCGTTCGGGGCTTCCATCTAGTCGCTCAGTTTTAGAGTAACCCTGTTTATATAGGTTGGGTTTCGTGAGAGACCGAGAATCAAAGACATTGTCTATTGGTCTCTCTTAGGCCGTGCACTTTAATTGTGTGCAAAGCATTTTAGCTCAGAATGCATTGCATCTCCAGCTGCTGTTATTACACACTCACGTTTTACAGCAGTAACGAAACGCAAGTTAGGCAAACTCGCCGCTATTTACCAAACTGCCAAATTTATGGTGTAAGATGTGCATGACGTGACAAAATGTAACGTTCGTTATGGCCTTCAAACCCGTGTCCCAGATTGTTTAAACGCACAGCGCCTGAACTTTGGGCCTAGGGTTCTACAAACATCCAGGAAAATAGTAAGGGCGTTACTTCTCGCAAATTAGAAAGTGTTCATGGAATGTCAGATTCCCCAAGACTTCAATAAGTTGAAATTATGCTCTGAATCGCTGGTCGTGTGCTGGGAAAATGTTGGCTTGGGGGCCAACATATGAATATGAAAAAACAATGGACGATTTAAAAAAAAAAAAAAAAAAAAAAAAAAAAAAAACGCGCTCGGAAGAAGCTCCAAAATACTTGACGCATTTAGATTAAAAGCCACCCCAGAGTGACAAGAGTCACGTTATCCCTCTCAACTCCAACGAAAGCGTGACTTGCGTTTGAAGGCCGCACCTTGCAATTTGGAGCACGCGTTTTAATGTGCTCGCAACAAAGCAAAACATCCGTCGTTCGAAACCGGACAAGACAACCAGGAGGTGCGAGGTCTGTGACGTGCTTTATATATATACATATAAACAAAATGGAAAGAATTGTAATTTTGTGTGAACGCACTTAGGGAATGTATAGCAAATTTGTGGCACTAGCTATTGTGTACAATGATACTAATGGTCATTTAGGATGCGCCCTAAGACATACATTTGGCTCAAATTGACTGAGGGCCTGTTCGTTCATTTTACTGGCTCAGTTCACTGAATCGAGCCTGTGTTACAAGGTAGAGCTGCGAGAAGTATGAGAAATCGGGATTTCCTTTGTGGAGCCTGAAAATCCGACTAATGTTTCGCCACGGAACTATTTACCCTGACGAACTCTATCGCGAGGCCTGTTTGGCGGGGTGTCGATACTTGATCTGGGCTTGATTTGAGGTCTCGTTTCATGTTATTTTTGCTATTTGACTCGAAATATGCCAGTTTCTGACGAAACCGAGCGAAAAAACTGCCTCAGAAAAATTGCGGAAATTTTGAACATGCCTCTAACCGCTCTGTTGGGGAGAGAGAGATATATGAATTATAGATTGTTGTGTGTTCAGTTCAGATTTACACCATAACAAACTGTGTTCCTAGTTGAGGTTGGCGAGCAATTTACATGCAGCAAAATCCCACACTGAGCTTTCGCACACAGTGATGGATCCGCAGACCGATGTGGCCAGTGCCATGCCAGCATCGGATTCTTGTGGACAGCTACAGTTGACATAGCTGTCGCGTCACATTTTTTTTCATAAACGGTCAGTTGTAAAAGTATGGGTTTCATCGAAACATCACATTTAGACAACTTTGAATAAATATTGTAAGGCATACCGGTATATCAAGGAGATGAAATGCAGAAGGAGATGGGTTTGCAATTGTTGGAATGTGATTTCTGGAGCCTGGTCCTGTAATTCGTACGATGCAAACGTTCATTCTAGATGTATGGGGCGGACTCACTGTATAACCTACCATGTCCCTCAGTTCACTACCGCCCTAATTTGGGCGGAGCGTCTTTTAACCGCACGGCGCTTTTGGCGTCTCTCACCTGCTCGTTAACTGTAGCCCACAAGCCCCCAATTTTAGAGTTCTGTGCACTTCACGTGTTCACTCAGGCAAAAAGGGGCTACCCACTGACATCCTCTCCTTGCGGATCACGAAACCACGAATGCTGGGTGGACCTGTCGAAGTAAAGGACTTTCGAATCTAATTGTTTAGTACAGTATGTACTATACGAGACTGCAAGCCTATAACTGCAGTGTACCCCAGTTGACGCATTGCCCTCCTGGTGCCCTCTGTCTGACAAATGGTGAATGAGTGATCCCACTCAGTACCACCACAACACAGGCACCACATCCCTTGGAACAATCCCCCCAGGGACTCCTTTAGTCAGGAGCAGGCAGCTCCGTGGACGGAAGCACAAACTGCCGTTTCAGACCTGGGTATCACCGCGACTGGACGAGGGAGCCTCGGGTAACTCGGACTCGGGAGGGTGGTTGTTGTGGAAATATTGTACTGCACTACAAAAAAAATAATTTAACGCCGTTGCCATGTAAGGATTTGTGATCTTGAAGTGAATGCAGCTTGTTGTTTGTTGTTTTTTAGTACACTAGTCGTTTGCGCGTCTCTGGCTCGTACAGTTGACAAGACAGCTGGTTCAATCAGCGTCTCTTGTTTTCAAGGCCCAGTAATGGATTCGCGCATCTGATGCTCAGGATGTAAAATCTTCCACCCAAATGGGCTGATGGGATTGCTGATGTGTGGAGATAGGGTACACATCCTTGGCCTTCCAGGTGGACCTTTGTCTTGCTTGCTATTGGCCAACAAAACTCTCCGTCCTCCCATCCTCGATTCTCTACCGTTCGCCTGGTTGAGTTTCCGTCTTTTGGGGACTAGGTTGGACTCGAATGTGTGCGGGCCTGGCTTGGATTGGTTGGACCCTAGATTCGCGCCTCCAACTCCCCCAACCTCCGCGCTTGTCCCCCTCCTCACCTCATCCCACTCCCCAAATTCCGCCACGCACGCGAGGCTCCCTCCCCCCTCAGTGCACTGAACAGCAGGCCTGTCGCTAATAGGGTAATGACCCTTCAATGTCAAGAAATTAACAGTAAACGTTCCATCGATTCCGGTTTTTTACGGTGCGATTTGTTTCCGAATCCGTCGGAAACGACTTTGCCCGATTCCTTAGCCTAACGAGTATTTTTTTTTTCGGAATCCGTATGGGCTACACTTGTAGTAGGGCAATCTGTAGTGGGTAGCGCCCCCATCTTCCCTTACCACCAAGGCGCCCCCCCCTCCTCCCCTCCCTTGATTCCTTGCTATCCGAATTTTTAGCTGCCGATTCCTTTTGGTAACGGGTTTTTTTGGGGGGATTCCGTCTGTTAACGGGTTCTCCAGAGGCGATTCCGTCCCCTTCCAGAATACCCTGGGGCTTAGCAAGAGGCGTGCTGCACAGACATCAAGAAACCTCCATCCATCCTCTCCCCCCTTCCCCCAGCCCTGCGTAAACTCCGCCAACCTCTTTCCCTTGCTTCACTCGCTCATGGGGGAACGAACTGCTCCCCCGACTTGTGCTACCCATTTTGGCTCGTCAGTGGGTCCTCGTTCTGAGAGGACCTCTCCCATCCTTAGTTTCTCTTTCTCATCACTGAGCGTAAACTCGTCTGGACCATACGCCTCAACTGTGTCACACGGTGTGTGTGCACCACAGAAGTTGTCTAGGGTATTCCTTTCTTCATCTCCTGTGCCTAGCAAAGTTGCGTATTTCTCGTTGTTCCCCCAGTTACGCCGTCCCTGCGCTCTGCTTCCACAGACTTTTATGGCAGCCAACCACGGCATTTAATCGCGTTTACGTGGAGCAGCAGAGCAGCGACGAGCTACTACCGTGTACTACTTCTCGCGACCATGTCTCCGTCGTGCGTGCTCGCCGACAATCCCGCCGCAGCGCACCGTCAACATCTTCCCCTTCCGCATCCGCCAGCGTCCGCCGCGGCTACCGGCAGCGGCGGAGACCTTTCGCCCTTCAAGGGCCCTCCCTCTCCGCTAATGGCGCTAACGTCAGCTGCCGCCTCTCTCGGCGCCGCGGCTTCCGCCGCCACAACGAAAGAGGCATCGCGGCGGCCGCTATCCACCGTTCCGGCGCTGCATGGGCCCGGCAGCGCGACTGGCGGCGCAACTGGCGGCAGCGGCAGTGTTTGGCGGTCCAAAAGTCATGGCGGGTGCTTCCGAAACCAGCTCGTTGCGCCGTGCGACGACGACGACGACGGTGACGACGGCGACGACGGCGACGAGAAGGAGGAGGGAGACGATGAGGAGGGTGGAGATGATTGGCTCGTCACATATTCTCGCACTTCGTCCTCCTACACGCAACCTGTGCCAGTCTCAGCCTCCGGGAGTCCCGTTAATGGCGCGTTGCGACGGTCGGCAACGGCGGAGCCTAGAGTGGAACGGCCGTTACAGCCGGTTACTGCTACTAGCCACCATTACCAGGGCAATCCCCTTGCGTTTGGGGCCGCAGTGGCTGCGGCTGCGTTGGCGTCGGCGTCGACGTCAGTGGCGGCAATGGCGGCTGAGTCAGCGGGAAGTGTGGAGGCGGAGGAAGAGGATTTCAACGCGTGGATGATGGGCGCAGTGGGAGCAGGGACGGGTGGCCCGGCGCCTACTAGTAGAGGTTCTTGCAGGGGCGGTGCGAGGGGGGGGAGGCATTTCTCTTCCTTGAAGGGAAGAGGCGCCGCGAAGGGTGCCGAGGACGGCCCGATATCCAACAATCGAGGCTGCCGCAGTAGTAGAGACAGCGATACTGACGGCGACGAGTCAGAATGGTGCAGCGCGGTGGGGATGGGTTCGACTCGGGACCAGAATGAGCGGCGCAACAGCGGCGGCGGGGGGAGGCGGCCGTCGCCGCGAATATCGAGCAGCTCGAGACGGCGCAACGCCATGGAGTACTCGGAGCTGGACGCCATTCGTGAAAGGTACGCGGTGCGGCTGTCACGGAGGCTCTGCCTCGTGGTACTCCGCCTGGCATCGCCGACTCGGCGTTAATAATATGAGTATTAGTATCAGTACTTGTATTAGCAGTAGGACTGTTACTCGTGGGCTCCGTCACGAGGCTTCGCTAGGAGATGTACCCATGCCGCGGCCCAGTTAATCCCATCAAGAGTCTGCATTCCTTGCCATGCGCCAGTCATTCACTCACCCGTGTCTCTCTCTCTGTGCTCCCTTTCTGGTCGCCCTGCCCCCACCGCGCCCCTCCTCAGGTTGCTCCACGCCACTCACCTGTGGGCCGTCACTTCCGATAGTCCTACGGATTGCGCTGCCACTGTCGCTGCTGCTGCTGCTGGTGATAATGGCGCCACTAGTGCAGTTGCACGTGAAACGAGCGGTGGAACTATTGCTGTGGCGGCCGCCTCACCTGTTGGCTCAAGATCCCCGTCTTTGGTCCAAACTACTGCAGAGGCAGTAGTAGCGGGCGAAGGGGTCAGCGGCGCAGCAGGCAGTGGCTCTGCTCCAGCCAACGCTACTGCCAGTCCCATTACCACCATCGCCACCACCACCGCCATCACCGCCGCCACCACTTCCACCATGATCCGTACTCGTGTCCGAACCCGTACCATGAGTGCATCCGGCAGTGCTGCCGTGATGGCACTGCAGGCAGCATCGCCATCCAGTGCGGTGATGGCAGGGGTGCCGCTGGTACCTGCAGCAGGCAGGGGGGGGAAGACTGAGGGCAGTGGCGCTGATACGGCACTCGCCTCCTCCTCTGCCGCTGCTGCTGACTCTCCCTTTGGCCTCCCGTTTCCTGGTGCCAGCACAGCACCAGCAGCAGGAGCCCCTGAGCAATGTTGTTCAGATTTGAGCACGCGTTTGGGTGGGTCCACTACTCGCATCCTACAAGCACATTCTTTGGCAGCTAGCACTGCCGCTCATGCGCATGGCTCCACTGCCCCATATGCTGTACATGACACATCGGCTGCTGTTGCCTCTACCATGGCTTCACCCACTGCTGCTGCTACCCATGGGCTCACCAGCCCCACCAATGGTGTGGTGCCGCTTGCTCCTGAGTCGGTCGTGTCCCGCTTTTCCTCGTTCATCTTGCGGCGATTCGGGTCCCCGTTTCCAATCACAAGGTCGTCCACATACCCCAACCTCTAGTATGGGTGGCATGGGTCTGGGGTCAGGACACAACATCTTGTCTCTTAATCTGTTCCCTGCCCTCTTTTCCCCTCATTATATCGCTCTCCCTATGTGGTCTCTTTCTCCCCTACTTGCTCATCCTCCCTGTCAAGATTTAGGCTCACATTTTTCGCCTACCATTCATGTATCGTTCATAATTTTATTACGAATGAGCGTCCAACGCGCTGTATTCCCCAGGATGAAATCCTAGCGTAGATAAAAATTAACTAGGAGATGGTACAAGGGAAAATAACCGAAGGGGTTGTACTCTATATTGGCATGCACCTCGATAGCCTATAACATGTACAAATTATATGTTGACACACCCCCTAGGCAAGACAAGGGGCAGGATTAGTAATAGATACGCAGCTCAGGGTGGCTCTACTAGTCCAACCTCTGATCTGAGGCAAGGGTCCGAAGCCCAGTCAGAAAGAGCACAAAATAAACTAGAGCGATCCAGGGCGGCACTACTGTTAAATTATATATTTGATATATATGCAATGGTATGGTAGGCTTGGTAGGTATAACTGGATTCTACTGTAGAGGGTACAACCCCCCTTCTTGTATCCCTCTCTGCTAATCTCATCCTCATCTCTCTCGACGTTTTCTCCTTCCAAAACCTCACGCCATTCTATGGCTTCCTTAGCTACCTGGCTTACTTCAACATGGTTTCAGAGCAGGTTGCTCTTCCTGGGCCTGCTTATCACGCTTACGCCGCGCACTCCTCTCCCTCTCGCGCTGCCATGGCGGCCGCGTCGTGCTGCTGTGGCAGCGTCGTCGTGTCGCCGGCCGCGTCGTGCTGCTGCGGCTGTCTCTTCGCGCTGCAGTGGCGTCGCACTGTCGTGGCGTCGACGTCAAGCCGTGGCGGCGTGACGGCGCCGTCGTGCTGCTGTGGCGACGTGCTGCCAGCGCGCGTACGGCACGGACGGCAGCGGCCAGCGCCCCGTCTTAGCGCTCGCCAGCACGCCCACATGCAGCCAGCGCGCCACACGGGGCGGCACGCTCCCGGGCTCCGCTGCTGAAGCCCCGCCCCCTTCCCCTGCGTCCCCTCTACCTCGTCGCAGCCGACGGCTGACTCGCGCCGGCCGTCCCACCGTCGCGGAGCCCGGCCACGCCGCCGAGTGCTGCGAGCTCCGCCGCCGCCGGCAGCTGTCGTCGAAGCCGCCGCCGCCGCAGCTGGTGCCGCTGGCCACGCCGCCGCCACTGTCGACGCTGCCGCCGTTGCCGCCGTTGCAGCAGCTGCCCTCGCTGTCGACGGCGCCGCCTCACACGCCGAGGGGCTTACCCTGCTGGAGTAGCTATCGCTGCTGCTGAGTATGGGGGTGCTAAGTTTAGGGGGTGTGTGGCTTAGTGTGCTGTGTGTGGTGGGCTTTCAGCTACCAAGCCTAGGGGGTGTGTACTACACAAGGCCAGTCAATACAATAGGAGTAGTACACACTCAGGGTCCTAGCAAGTGAGAAGCTACAGGAACTAGACCAAGCTGTAAACAATGCCGCTGATGATCTTTAGGTGCAAGCGCCTTCGTAACGATAGCAGTTGTGTTGACACTTGAGGCCGAGTGAACTACGCGAGCCTGGCGGCGCTACTTTAGCTCGCGCAGGAGAAAGTACCGCAGCTGGATGTGCCTCGCTCTGCCCTCTAGTCTAGGCTCCTGATGTAGGAGGACCATGGCCCTGCATCCGGAACTACTTTTTTGCGGTTTTCGAAACTGGGTTTCGGAATTGGCGCGATACACGCCCTTACTGTGCATTTTCCGGGCTAATGTCCGGTTTGCTCGTGGTTTGAAATTTCTGGGGAACAGGCTTGAGCCGCGTGAAAAAACCCGTCTCTTTTAGCGTGGAACAAATGTATGCTCATTGCCATTATTCTGATAATCTCTGGATAGGAGTCGAGTAATGCAATAGTGAGGTCGTGATTAAAGTGTGTCGAGGATAAATGAAACACAGGGCTAAATACAAGCACAGCTAACCTAGCAAGGGAGCCTCGAGGAGGGCCACGAAACACACGCGAGGTGGTTTGGGGCGCCTCACGACTCGAAAGTGTCGGATGCGACGCCACGTGTAAGCTTGGGGTCTCGAACATAGTTCGAGCCTGGATCAAGGCTGAAGTTAGAAAAAAAGCCACCCTGTGCTGTCGACTAAGAAAAAAATTACCCTGAGGGCTCTGTTTTCAAATTTTGCCTTCCGAAACCCTGAAATTCTTTGGGTTCACAGAACGTAATCAGGGTCGCCTTCAGCGACGGCGTAAGCATTTCGGCAGTTCGCCTTCAGGTTCCCAAACGGCCACATCATCTCCTCCAATAGCGACAATTTTAGTGTGGGGGAGAGTTGGGGGGTGATTGTTTGTTTCTGATTTCCCAAACGATGTGAAATTACTAACTCTAAACTATCAGATGGTCCACAGCTCAAGTGATGGGAGGAAATCGAAAAGGAGGGGAGGGAGGAATTGAAATCGAGGGGAAAAGTGGAGGAATTCAAAACCGAGGAGAGGGGGGAAGCGAAACGGAGGGGGAAGGGGGATTGGGGGAATCGAAATTGAGGGGAAGGGCGGAAGCAAGTGAGGGGAGACAGAGCCCTCAAAATTGGCCAATGAGCACCGTGCGCGGGATGGACTTCGCTCGCTTGCACCGTCATGAAGTTGACTTCAAATGTCAAAAGAAGTCCGGGTCGTTAATCTCAAGATGGCATCGACGACCGCTAAATGTCAAAACGATCGCAATCAATCGGGGCCGTCAAAGCGTGTTGGACTACTAGTTATACCGCACGAGCAGCTGGCGGGAATTCTTTTGAAAGGAACGATTGCTACTATGGGCAAGGTTTTTGTCATGCTCAGGCGTTGTCACTAGTACCCTTGTTATTAAGGAGTACATTGCCACATACGAATTTCACTGCTCCATTGGGTTGCCAAATTCTCAGGGTTTGTGGGGGGAACGGAGTGATGTTGAGGACTTAGCCAAATGATATGGGTTGTGGGAGTGTGGGAGGGGGAAGTCTGTACAAGAGGACTTAGCCAAATATTTTTTGTGAAGGAGGGCGATGTCTCTGACTATTAGGACTTCGCCGATTGTTTTTAAGTTGCTGGGTATGTGGGGCGAGTGTCTGTACAAGAGGACTTCGCCAAAAATTTACGTAGGTTGCTAGGTGTGCGGGGGGAATGTCTCTGGCGATGGTACCGAACTACCATTTATGGGAGAAATCTCAACACTTAACCCTTCACTCTTACAGAACTTATAACCTTGAAGGGTTAAGTGTTTAGATTTTGACCACCCTAAAAATTAAGGGCTGGCAAAAAAACCTACGCTGTGAAATTAGGGAATCGGGGTAAAATGCCCTGATAACGTCAGCCCTGGCGTGGAATTCCGAAAGTCAGGACTGTACTCGATGTCAGCTAGGCTCGATAAGGAAAAGGGATTTTCCTTGCACCTTCCCCCCTCCTAGATGAGACTACCCATATCTGGGGCAGCCCGATCTTGTAAATAGGCCTGCACCAGTGGGTGGTTGTCGAGGGTTGCGGCTGGGACCCACATGTCGTCATCGCACGTACGGTCAAACCATCGAACCAGAAAATCCAAAACCCTTCGACCTTGGTCGCTTCGAATTCGGTGGGAGAGGATCTGTTGCGGTTCGGTAATTGGCTCGAGGACGGGTCTGATCGAAGGATAGAGTCATTGACGGTCGAGATCAGCCATGTTTGTAACGAACTGTCGAAGGTGGCTGACGTGGAATGAATCGTGGATACGCCACTCGTCCGGTAAGAGTAACTTGGTAGTGACAGATGTCACCATTCGAACAATTCGTAAGGGCCCACAGAATCTCGGCCGGAGTTCATGTGGTAAACTCAACCCTAAATTCTTGGTGTCTGGAAGGACTATTTGCCCAAGGGACAGGGTAAATCCCATCGATGCATGTCCGCATACTGTTTGGCTGTAAGATTGGCTTCTAAAATAGCCTCGGTAGTGTTTTTCTGTATAGTTTGTAAGTCCTTGACGAACTGTTGCGACCGTGGGGCAGGACTCTCAACTAAAGGTGTAGTGGGAGTCGTGGGGTTTAGACCGTAATTTAGGTAGAACAATGATTGGGCAGTCGTGGACAAAGGGGCATTGTTATACGCGAACTCGATCAAGGGAAGAGAATCTTCCCATTGGGTCAGGTTTAGGGTTTAGGGTTTAGGGTTTAGGGTTTAGGGTCAGGTCAGCACAGGTTGTCCGTATCAGCTGCTACATGGTCTGATTTGTCCTTTCAGTCTGATCGTCGATCTATGGATGGTAAGCCGTGGACAAATGGAGACGTATATTGTACCGTCCCCACATTTTTGTCCAGAAGTTGGACGTAAATCGGGGGTCACGATCGCTCAGGATCGCCTTCGGGATTCTGTGCAGGCGAACAATGGTTGAGATGAACAGCTTGGCAGTTTGCTTGGCTATGATTTTCGTTCAGCATAGCGCGAAATGAGCCATTTTCGTGAATCGATCAACGACCACGAGTACAGCATCATTTTGGGATGCGCCGGCCGGCAGTCCTATCACGAAGTCCATGGACATGTGTGTCCAGGGTTTTGTGGGTGGTTCAAATGGTTGCAGTAATCCGCCAGGATTTTGGCGAGAGGATTTCATCAGTTAGCAGGTGGGACATGAGGCCATATTTTGCTGCACGTCCTGGCTCGCATTCGGCCAGTAATAATGACGTTTGAGCATTTTCAAGGTTTTATCAACCCCGAAATGTCCTGAGCAATTAGCGTCATGAACCTCCTGTATCAATAGTTCCTGCAACATTCGGTAGGATGGAACCCAAATTCGGCCAGCACCAGCTTTTAGGTGGTAGTGGCCTAGTTGAGTGGTCAGGGCCTGGTGGCCGTTAGAGGTGAAAAGGGATCAGTTTTGTAGCCGTAGGTAAACAATCCAGTTAGCATGGGGATTGGCTTCGGCAATTAGTACGGCGCCTGTATGGGCAGTAGGTCGGGAAAGGGTGTCGGCAATATTGTTTGCTCCCTTTTTGCAAGTGATGCGGTAGTGGAACTTGGACTCGAGGTATTCGAGCCAACGAATCTGTCGTGGATTGAGAGTCGGTTGGGCTCGGAGGAACCGTAGGGGCTTGTGGTCTATTCGGACAGTAACGTTAGCACCGGATAGGTAGCAGCGCCAGGGCTTGAAAGCGTTGACGATCGCGAGCATTTCCTTGTCGTG